ATTACACGTACTCTGATGTTGCATAAAAAAGATGCTGGAGTTCCTCACTGAAATTATATTTATAGCCTTTGGAGACGAACAGTCTGTTGGAATTTTGATAAGCACTTTTTGTTATTTTGTTAGCCGACTTGTTTTTATATTATTATGAAGCAGAAGGTATTCAAAGACTTCCGCTTGAGAAGAAGAAAAGTCTTTATTTGACTTTCGATTTGACATTAAGAAATAATGGCGATTTTTTTCCATTAACAATAGTAGTTTTCATTCATATGTCTAATCGAAATATATCCGACTGAACTCGAAATAAACGGTACTAAAGCCACATTTGTTTAATATTTGGATGCTTTTTTCTGACTACAGTATAGACACAAATAAGCTACTAAACTATATTACAAACATGAAGACTTCGCTTTTCCAACATCAGTTTTCCCTATTTATGCAAAATTATTCAAATATCACCTGCATGGTGTTTATGTCTACCAGATTTGGTATGCAAGAACATACTATCAATTTTCATACCGAGGTAGGATACTGACAAGTACGTTGATGTCATGAGGTTTTCAACATCCCGTTTGAAATCAGATTTCGCAAATTCTATGGCCGATATAATGATTTTGTTTGCAAATACAATTTATCACTTGGTCATGTTTTGTTTGAAATGTTCATATCAATTCTCAGGTCATTGTTTTTACACTAATTATGACTTTGGATTATTCCACTTACCAGATCAATACAAAGGGCTCACAACTGGTATGATTGGTCGACAGGGAATGCCTACTCCTCCTAGGCACCTGATCCCACCTCTTATGTTTCCAAAGGTGCTTTTTTTTTACCTGTTCATTTGTCGTATTGTTTATAGAATTTATGAGGTGAATCAATGTTCGTTATATTCACTTTTTCATAAAAATCTCAAACAATTCTAAATTTTCTATTCTGTTGAAGCATTAGTTAATAATAGTGTTTAAACCATACACACAAGGTAGTGATTGATTGATTGATTGATTGATTGTATGTTGTTTTACGTCCCGTTCGCGAATTTTTCACTCAGATAGAGACGTCACCATATACCAGTGAAAGGCTTCAAAAATTTAGACATCTATTCGGCACTCAGGGCCATTAAACAGTGAGGGTTCTTTATCATGCCAACGCCTCGGTTTTTTAAGGTCTTATCCGAAAGACTCGCAACTTTAACTTCAAAGTGCCGAGCAATTGGTGAAGGAAGAGTTGCTATCTATTTTTTATCGACTTAGATCAGTCGCGGCCGTGATTCGACCTTCCGATCACGGAGCATACACAAAGTAGTGTGAAAGAACATTGCAGGAGCACAAACCTTAGTGTCAGCTTCAGCAAATTGAGCAAACTCAATAACTATTCACCAGCATGTATAAGCCAGAAACATAACGAGCATTGCATGATCAACATTACTAGGAATCAAACCAAAATATCAGAAATGCTCAGTCTGTTTTTGAGATAACAATTATTTTTTTTGGAAAAACGGGGTTATTTTGTTTGATTAGTTTACAAAATACCCTTTTATTTTAATATATACAGTAGCTATACAAACAATTCAATCAGAAAACCAATCATTGAAGAAAATTGGTAAGTCTTAGAGAGGTCTCACTTGTGCTCTCTTTTGGTACTTATTTGAAGAAACAGAAATGGTTCTTTGAGAGGTCTCACTAGTGCTCTCTTTTGGTACTTATTTGATGAAACAGAAATGGTTCTTAGAGAGGTCTCACTAGTGCTCTCTTTTGGTACTTATTTGAAGAAACAGAAATGGTTCTCAGAGAGGTCTCACCGGTGCTCTCTTTTGGTACATATTTGAAGAAACAGAAATGGTTCTTAGAGAGGTCTCATCAGTGCTCTCTTTTGGTACTTATTTGAAGAAACAGAAATGGTTCTTAGAGAGGTCTCACTAGTGCTCTCTTTTGGTACTTATTTGAAGAAACAGAAATGGTTCTTAGAGAGGTCTCACCAGTGCTCTCTTTTGGTACTTACAGTGCAGGAAACTAATTTTGTTACAGCATCGATGCTGATTTGAATGCTTCCTATGCTTGCTGATTTGAATGATTCCTTTGCTTGCTGATTTAATGCTAGTAATCCTTATCCTGATGCTGTTTTATAATTAGGTCAATGCTACCGGAAGCAGCATCATGTTACCAGAAGTAGATAATGAATTTCAGCATTGCCGTTTAAAGCAATAAAAGTGCCTTTCACAATTATTTGATCATAATATCTCACTATGTATCAATAATGTGCATACTTTAACCAATATTCTTTCTTTCTTTTTTAATTTTTTCCTGAATTAAAACTCATTGATTTTCTGATGCTAGTAGGATAATGCTGGTTTTATGTAGGTCAATGCTGGTTTTATCCTATGCTTGCTGATGCTGATCCTGGTAATGCTGTTTTTTACGTGCTGATCCTGATGCTAGCTCTATCCTGATGCTACTAATGCTAATGCTGATGCTGGTTTATGTAACAAAATTAGTTCCCTGCACTGTATTTGAAGAAACAGAAATGGTTCTTAGAGAGGTCTCACTAGTGCTCTCTTTTGGTACTTATTTGAAGAAACAGAAGTGGTTCTTAGAGAGGTCTCAATAGTGCTCTCTTTTGGTACTTATTTGAAGAAACAGAAATGGTTCTTAGAGAGGTCTCACTAGAGCTCTCTTTTGGTACTTATTTGAAGAAACAGAAATGGTTCTTGATCATTTTCTCGGACAATAAGAGTTTGAAAACAGGTCAACATTATGTACGATAGTAAACTTTTAAGCACATTTTCTCTGCAGAAGGAACATTAAAAGTCGTACCAGAATTGGCAGTATTTCGCGCCATATTAAAATGATTAAATTAATATGTGCAACTTAGAAAAGCATATTGTATAAAAAGGATTGAATTTTATGATACGCCATTAACAATAACCACTCCAGTTAAGAAATTCGAGAATATTTACTTTCCAGTTACTATTTGTATTTTCTTCTAGGATTCTCTAAAAATAGCAAATGATATTCATTTTCCTATTACCCTACATGGATGACATAAATATCTCAATATTATCAAACACACATCTTCAAACAATGCATATAACATAAAAAAAGTTTCTTTTTTCAACATTAATGCAAATACTAATGAGAAATCAAAATATCATTTCGACAAAGATAAAAATGGTGTGTAGACAGGTTAAGAGAGATATAATACAGGACAAGGATAAATAGAATACAGGTAAAACAAGGGCAGTGTGAACACGTAAAGAGAAACATAATACAGGACAAAGATACCGGTAAATATAATACAGGCAAAGCAGGGGCAGTGTGAACACGTAAAGAGAAACATAATACAGGACAAGGGTAAATAGAATACAGGCAAATAGGGGCAGTGTGGACACGTAAAGAGAAACATAATAAAGGACAAGGGTAAATAGAATACAGGCAAATATGGGCAGTGTGGACACGTAAAGAGAAACATAATAAAGTACAAGGGTAAATAGAATACAGGCAAATATGGGCAGTGTGGACACGTAAAGAGAAACATAATACAGGACAACGATACCGGTAAATATGATACAGGCAAAGCAGGGGCAGTGTGAACACGTAAAGAGAAACATAATACAGGACAAGGGTAAATAGAATACAGGTAAAACAAGGGCAGTGTGAACACGTAAAGAGAAATTTAATACAGGACAAGGATAGATAGAATACAGGTAAAACAAGGGCAGTGTGAACACGTAAAGGGAAATTTGATACAGGACAAGGGTAAATAGAATACAGGCAAGTAGGGGCCGACAAGAAAATGACGCACAGCATAGCTCACCGGAAAAGCAGGAAAGGCTTAACTTACTATTGCTGAACTTTCATTTGTTATTTGACTTCCTTAATGACAAGAAAAGATCTAATTTTTAACTGATTTACTTAGTCAGCATTTAACAGTGCAATATGCTTTATTTTCCATAACTATAATAAAGAAAAAAACTATAATAAAGAGAGCTATAATTTAAAGAATAATAATTCTACCTAATAAATCCTTAATAAATTTATCATTGTAAGTATTGAGAATCCTAGGTTACAATTGTTCATTTCGCTGACATTTTTTTCTTATTTAATTTTGAAATACGGCTTCTAGACTTCTGCAGAAATGTTAAGATGTAACATAAACTACTGTTTAATTTTAGGAATAACGAATAAAGAATAACAAGATAGGCGTATAAAAATTAAGAATTAATTGTTGTCTAGGCACTTGAAGTTTGATAGAAATAATGTTTTTAAACAGTATACATATTTAAACTTTCTTAAAACTAAAGATAAAAATTCACTTTGATTTCTCAGTTCAGTCTACACTGAATGAATTGTATGAATTTTATTTACACATTTTGTATCAAATTACTATGAATTAAAATTATTGACAACTAAAGTAATAATTATTGACGAAAACATTACAAAACAAAGAAGAGAACGATCAAAAAATCACGTAGTAATTGGTTACAGAGGTCGAAGTTAGACAGAGAGACTTAGCTTTTGTGGCAACATAAACCAGCATAAAAAGAATGTGACACACTTTTAAATATACATTTAATCGACAGTTTAATGTTCCTAAAATGAACAATTTGCACTTAGAATATTCTACATATTATAGAAAAAAAATATTTGACCTCCAAATGATGCAGAGTCCATATTTGTTATAAAACTTAACAAAAGTGGGAAGTTAAATGTATGTATGTATGAATTGAGAACGTGAATGAAAACAATTGAGGTATTATAGTAAAAGGGAGTATAAAATCCGGCTAATTATAATATAAATGTATATTTAAGAATGAACCTTATTGTTTAATTGAATTTACACTCACTGATATCTTTGCACTCTATTCATGTACAAAACACATTAATTCGTTATATCAAAAGCTCATTTGCTTTGATACTGTCGATAAAAGGAGTCAGTTTCTCAGCACAATCATCACACTACGATTGTAGGATAATGCTAAGATGCTTGTCTGTAAAAAGTTTCTAAATACGTTTCACCTATTTATTATAATCGCTGGAGTTGAGTCTGCTTTTAAACATGATGTGACACCCAGTTGTCCGGATTCCGCCGAGGAATGTACCTTTATCCTACGTGTTAATTACATTATGACCATGGTAGCCTATAACTGGACGATCGACGAAGGGAACCCAGTTTTCCTCAGAAATGGGACTTTCATGAAAAAAACCTCAGACGCTGAACATGGGGTGGCCCATCTTTGTGAAGAAAAACCGGTTACCTCTGAAGGTAAGATCATCTATAACAAATTGTTTGGTTCAAAATTATTTACTACAGTATTTTCTTCTTTAAAAATTGCAGACCAACTATGTAAAAGAGACGAGTATAAAAACCAAAAAAAAAAAAAAAACCCTCTTCCAGGATCAGAAAATACATGATTTAACCTTGTGCTATAAAGCCATTTTAAAATGTGTATTGTAACTCTATGTCATATATGTAACTTTTGCTTGACTCATATGGGATGTATTATGCAAAATAAATATGTATTCCGAATTTGGACCCAAGAATATCATTCGGTTCTTCAACTAATGATTTTTGAAAATCTATATTTATCTTAATCCTTAGGCATTAAGCATCATTTTTTCCTTAATATGTGGAAATTAGCAAATTACCTTTTTACGCTAATATGTCTCTTGGCGAGGGTAAAAAGTAATGTTCAATATGCAATGGTTTGTGTTGTAGCAGTGGGCTTCCATTTGAAAGAAGAAAAAAATTCCCATGATAGAATGCTTGTTAAACATCATCCCCTGCAAACAATGCTATGATATAATGTACTTATTTTGTTAATCCTCTTGTTTTCTTCATTCGTTATAAAACACAGGGTATCATAGAAATATCAAAAGCTTCTGTCCAACATAAACAGCCATAAATATTGTTCAAGGTTTTCTGGATAGGTCAACGTCATTTGGTCACAGTTATAATGTTTAGATAAATACTACAAAATTGTATGTGGCGGGAGCTATACGTGTAGAGATTACTCTTGAAAAGTTGATACATGTATACCCTAATGGAGAACTGATGTTAATAAACAACATCGTTTTGTAACATAGAGTATTGTACATAATCCGTTGTGGTATGTTTGTAACATAGAGTACTCTACATTATAATTCGTTATGGTATGTTACTTTATGATTATCATTTGTAACATAGAGTACTCTACACTATAATACGTTGTGGTATGTTACTTAATGATAATCGTTTGTAACATAGAGAACTCTACACTATAATTTGTTGTGTATGTTCCTTAATGTCTATCGTTTTATTGCTAGAAATGGAAGAAGTAATAACTGCTGACGGCAACTACAGATTCATGTTCGCCATCAACAATCAGTTTCCGGGACCAACGATTTCCGCTTATGAAAATCAAAGAGTAAGTAAACAGGCTATATTTCTTGATGATGTAATTCCAGAACTTCAATCCGATGGTGACTAAATTGGAAAAAAAAAGAAAGTAGAAAATTTACTATTGCAAGCAATTGCTTATATCACTTCGAACTGAGCAATATTGAAGTGAAAGCAGAATATGCAAATTCTATTATAAAAATTAAAAGTTTCTAAAAATTTTAAATTTCTAATTTTCAAAATTTACACATGTACCTTTCTTGGTTCCTTGACGATGGTATTTTCTAAATCTAAACTTAGATGGTTGTGGAAACTCTAATTCGTTGATATTGTGCTGTTTGAAACACTTTTGAATTATAAACTTAAAAATGAATTCATCTTTTTTTAAATCACAACGAAGACAAATTTTGTCGAACAAAATTTATATTTAAGTGATTACAAGATGAAAGGAATATGTCCTGTGAAAGTAGAAAATGTGTCAGATTTTGTTCTCAGGTAAAAATTCATGTTTACAATGACCTTGCAAACGAGGCTGTGACCTTTCACTGGCATGGTATGTCCCAGAACGGTTCTGTTTATATGGATGGTGTCTCCATGGTTACACAATGCCCGATACTTCCGGGGCAGATGTTTACTTATTTGTAAGTATCTCAGTCAAACACTCAATGCTTGGCCCCATGGGAGAGTAGTTATACATAACTTATTTGTAAGTGTAAGTTTTTCAGTCATACAAACATTGCTTGGGAGAGTGTTAGTTAATAACTTATTTGTAAGTTTTTCAGTCATACAAACATTGCTTAGGAAGGTTTTAGACTAGTACATAACTTTTTTGTAAGTGTTTTAGTCATACATTCATTATGTTATACCGTGGGAGAGATTTAGTACATAACTTATTTGTAAGTTTTAAGTCATACAAATATTACTTGGGAGAGTTTTAGTACATAGCTTATTTGTGAGTATTTCAGTCATACAAACAGTACTTGGGAGAGTTTTAGTATATAACTTTTTATTAGTATTTCATTCATTTATTTATTGCTTTATCTCTTGGGAGAGTTTTAATACGTAATACACAAATCTATTTTACCGACATGTGTTGATGTCATTCATACATTCATTGCATGATCCCGTTGGAGAGTTTAAGTACATTACAAAAAAGCTATTTTATTGAATTATGTGTAAGTATTTCAGCCATACATTTATTGCATGATCCTTTGGGAGATTGTACGTTAGTACGCAACATAACAAATGAATTTTATATATATTGCGGCCCATATAAACATGTTCACCATGTTCAAAGGTTCGTGTTGTTAGTATTATTTTGTTTGTTATCTTCAGCTTCTTCATAAAGAAAAATACTGATGCTATTTTATCTTTACCTTTATAATATCTTCCAAATGAATGAAGTTGAACATTTCAGAACTTATCTTTCATTATACCAAAGGACTTATGTTTTATGTGTTTTAGAGACGTCTTTCGAATTGAATATGCATATTTTGAATGTTCTTTTTAATATCGTGAAGAATATGACTAACTAACGAGCAATACATGGAATATGAATTGTTTGATTTATTTAAGGTTCACAGCTAATCCTCAGGGAACACACTGGTATCATGCACACCACGGTGTTATGAGGTCGATGGGCCTTGCAGGTGCTTTTATTGTCCTTCCTCGGAAAGGAAATGAGGTGATTAATTAAGTTACTAATATTCTAACCCAACTGAGTACAGTGTACTATATATCTTTCTGATTATCCAACGGAGAAACACACTAATGTAGTTTAATCAAAGCTATGAAACCTAATGCAACTGAACAAGCTGCACTTATGTAGCTAAATCCAACTGAACAACTTCACCAATATCATGAATATAGCCAAATCTAATTAAACAATTTCACCTATGTCGCATAATTCACCTGAACAGATTCACCTATGTAGCCCAATCCAACCAAACAACAACAACAAAAAAAGATCCTTAAGTCTGCAGCCCAATCTAACTGAACAAATACACCTATGTAACCTAATCCAATTTAACTGAACAAATCCACAAAACCTACATAGCCCAATCCTACTGAACAGAATCACCCATTAGCTCAAACGTACTGAGGAAATTCTATGTAACCTAATTCAACTGCAAGAGCAAGTTTACCTTTGTAACCTAATCAATCTGAACAAATTAACCAATCCAACTTAATCCATTTACTGAGAAGAACAGGCATTTAATCCAATCGAACTTAATAACGTAATGAAAAAACCTCAGATAATTTAAATTGATAAGATAGTATGATCTCAATTTCTTCAACATAATATAAATCATAAAGAAAGCAAAGCTTATCTCCAAAGAATCAAATAACTTGGTATCCCTACGTGTATATCTTCCACAGAGAAATGATGTTCCCAAAGCTGATGACGATTTTGTATTCATGGTACAAGACTGGACATACCCCGAGAGTGACCTCCAGCTAGTAAAATTTCAGGAGTGGTATATGTTACCGTAAGTAGAGCGAGAGAGAGAGAGAGAGAGAGAGAGAGAGAGAGAGAGAGAGGAGAGAGGAGGCGGAGAGAGAAAGAAGCAGCGGTAAGTAGATGGATTGGTAAATGGATGAATGAAGGTATATATTATACCATTATGACATGATTTCGAAGTAATCCAAAACTCAGAGAGAGAGAGAGAAAGACAGACGATGAAAGAGGGGGGTAAGTAGTTTGATGGTTGAATGTGTGTATAATTATCTTATACATGTTTCACATGATTTCGAAGTAATCACATCTCAGAGAGAGAGAGAGAGAGAGAGAGAGAGAGAGAGAGAGAGAGAGAGAGAGAGAGAGAGAGAGAGAATTTATACTCTAAAACAAAGTTTTGTCTAATTGTTTGTCCACAGGAAGAATATACATGTATTTCTTCTGATCTCTGTTGTGTAAAATTGAAGAAACCTGCAAGGAGATAATAAAAAAATAATAAAGCCATGGATTAACAAGGTCTAGTTTTCCTAATTGAATTTTTCATTATGCTTCCCGGAAAACCTTGATTTATTAATGATTCTTGTACATTTACATGTATCATATACACGATGACATCTTGTACATTTACATGTATCATATACACGATGACATCTTGTACATTTACATGTATCATATACACGATGACATCTTGTACATTTACATGTATCATTTACACGATGACATCTTGTACATTTACATGTATCATATACACGATGACATCTTGTACATTTACATGTATCATATACATGATGACATCTTGTACATTTACATGTATCATATACACAATGACATCTTGTACATTTACATGTATTATATACACAATGGCATCTTGTACATTTACATGTGTCATATACACGATGACATCTTGTACATTTACATGTATTATATACAAGATGACATCTTGTACATTTACATGTATCATAAACACGATGACATCTTGTACATTTACATGTATCATAAACACGATGACATCTTGTGCATTTACATGTGTCATATACACGATGACATCTTGTACATTTACATGTATCATATACACGATGACATCTTGTACATTTACATGTATTTTATACACAATGACATCTTGTACATTTACATGTATCATATACACGATGACATCTTGTACATTTACATGTATCATTTACACGATGACATCTTGTACATTTACATGTATCATATACACATTGACATCTATTCTTGACAAATAAAAAATAAAAGGGTACACAAAATTATCCATAGTGTTGCATTTTAGATCATAATTAAACATTAAGAATATTCTTACTTTAAATTTTAATAAAAGGTTTGTAAAGAATATGGATTCAGATGAGTGTCTCCAGACGAAGCTTACCTATGACGGGTCTCTATCCAGTCTGACGATGCCTTATAATAATGCCCTGGTGAACGGGAAAACGAAATATTGTACGTATAGAAACAATGTAATACACACCGAGAAATTACTTGACAATGCCTTATAAAAATGCCCTGGTGAACCGGAAAACAAAATATTGTTAGAATAGAAACAATGAAATAAACACCGTGATATTTCTTGGTAGGGCTTTATAATACGCAGCACTGTTAAGGCGTACTTCGAAGAAATCAACAGAATATAAACGTGCATAAATACATACCTTTTTAAAATGAATTTTAATTTTGTAATGGTACTATATTATCTTATGACTTTAACATTCTTTGAAATAACATTATATACACCGCTCTGTACTGAATTTGGTTTGGTCACGTTATTTGATAGTCACGTGATAAATGCATGTAATGTGTACTGTATGTAGGTCACAAACAAATTTCAATATCGCAAGGGCATACCCTAGTTAAAATTAAAAATTAAAGTAATAGATTTTTTCTACATAACTTGTAGTTTATGGAAAGTCCTGCTGCTTTAAATAGAATTCGCATTTTATTAGTTTAAATTTCAAGTTATCTTGCTAATGTCGAAACCAAGTATTTTATGTATTTATCAAGTTATGCTATCGATTTCAGGGAAGTAGCAGCACCTTTCAAGTTAAGGAATATGTCCATTATGTGTATTCAAAAAATGGTCAAGATCTATTAAGTGTATGCCCTTGCGAAAATGTGATTTAATGAGGCACCTCAGCATGAAACATGCACACTCTGTAGACAAAAACACGGTAGAATTAATTCAACACATTCTCTCGATATTTTTTAAAGAATGGCACTAAACAAACGTTTCAGATTTGTATTAATGGTCTACCTAAGATTTTCAAATAATATTCTCTTTAATAATAAAATGCATTTTTCACTGTGAAAAATTACTTGATCCGTCAAACTTTACCATGATGACGTCATGTCGACAAGTGCATTGCGATCAGTGACTTGTTTATATCTTGCTGTGTGGGATTTAACTAGCGACAAAAATGAATGCAGTGGTAAGTTTTGATGTAGTTCATTACTCTTGTGCAGTTTAGATTCGCAAATTGTTTCATTTTCTGTTATTGCGAGGAATTGCTATATTTGTGTGATGTCACAGTAAACTTTTCCCGTATAAATTAGGCTCCGCCCTCTTTATGCAGCCTAAACAGAGCTGCTTAAGGCCCTGGTTAACTGGAAAAACGAAATATTGTACGTATAGAAACAATAAAATTAACACGGTGATGTAAGTTGACAATGCCTTATAATAATGCCCTGGTAAATGAGAAAATGAAATATTGTAAGTATAGAAACAATTAAATACACACCGAGAAATTACTTGACAATGCCTTATAATAATGCCTTGGTGAACCGGAAAACGAAATATTGTAAGTGAAATATATGGAGATAACGAACAGTATTCAAGCTCAAAAGTCCATTATACAATACAAAATAGGAGCAGAGCAAACACGGACCTCCAAACATCAGAGGTGGGATCAGGTGCCATGGAGGAGTGAGCATCCCCTGCCGACCGGTCACACCCGCCGTGTGCTCCTTGTCATGATCGGGAAATAACGGAAAAATCCGTCGAAATTCAGTGTGTAAATAATGGCCTAACAATTAGTATAAAAAACGTCAGTCAGCATTTGACTCAATGATAAATTGTATTTGCTGACAAGGTCATTGTATCGACCATAGAACTTACGAAATGATGACTTTAAACGAGACAGCTGATATTCTTGTTTCATCAACTTATTTGTCAATAATTTACCTCGTTTTAGATATTGTACATACGTAGAGCATGCTCTTGCGTATCGAATCAACTGATTAAATACACACCGTGATATTACTTGACAGTACCTTATAATAATGCTTTGATGAACGGGAAAACGAAATACTGTAGGTATAGAAACAATTAAATACACATCGTGATACTAAATCACAATACCCAACTATAATGCTCTGACTGGGAAAACGAGTTACTAAAAAAAATAGAATGAAAAAGATGAAGATAATGAACAGATATGGATCTTTAAAATGCCTTACAAACAAGACAAACCTGTAAGCACAGCACCAAATACTGACGCAGTGAAATTCTAGACTTGGGATCAAGTGCCAAGGAGGAGTAAGCATACCTTCCCTGAGCCTTGCAATTGCGTATTGATCAGGTAAATGGTGCATTACGAAGTCCAATGCAGTATTAAATCGAATGTCTAATAATTCATATAAAATGTGTCAGGCAAAATACGATCCAGTGATATGTTAGATATTTATGAGATAATAAAATTAAATGAATTTCGTGATAATATATTAGGATTCCTTACAAAACTCCTTTGAGCGGGTAAACTAGATACTGTAAGCTAATAAGCAAAGAAATACTGTTCGTTAGTATCCTTCGACTAGGGATACACTGCATTGCAATCCTTAGATGGTATTTATTTCCATGTAATGTTGATATTGTAATACTGTTATACGCGTGGGCGTATTCACACCTAAAACGCGAAAAAATATACTTGTGGAGTACCAATGTCTTTATATTTATATTTCTACTAAGCACAAAAAAAAAAATTCTAAGACTGGTATTGCAAAATAGTCTCCACCTACCGACTGGGGGTTATTTATACATAGAATACCAATAGGAATATTTTGCGTTAACCACACAATTTGTACTAATGTACCAAGAATTACCCTCCATGCCAATACTATTTGATCATGACTAGCTTACACGATGTAGTTTATTATTGTTGTAAACGGACAGGAGAAATCCTATTATAAAACCCTTTTGATAAGAGTATAATATACTTTCAGTTTCAGATGACAGCTCAGAGCAACAGCGTGCGATACCACTGGAGATATTCAATGTAGCCTCTAACAGCTATACCAGATTCCGAGTCATTAACTCGGGCATGACAGGAGAATACAAAATTTCCATTGATAAGGTTAATTCTTAAAAAAAAAAAAAACAAAGCAAAAACAACAGTTAGATTTATTTCACCTTAGAATATGCATTGATGATCTTTGTAGTATGCATATTTTACAGAACTTTTAAAATATTTAAACTGTTTCCTTTGTGTATGATTTTTTTTACTTCCTATAATTTAATCTTAGGTTATGATATAGTTAAACCTGCATGAACATTTTTAAACCTAAAGGTTGCATAAAAATAAATATGTATTTATTATTGAAAATACTTCTGTAATCAAAGTTTACAGCATGCATTTTAATATCTACAGCACAAACTGTTACTGACCGATACAGATGGAGGTGACCTGGCCCCAATTTACATCGATTTCCTCCTCATTAGCCCCGGAGAAAGCTATGACGTCATTTTATACGCAAATAACACTCCTGGAAACTACTGGATACGCGTAGAAACAACAGAAGTAATGGATTACAATCATGTAAGTAAATGTTTATAAACTTTATTTATTTCATTGATTTAAAGGACATTACTTGGCACGTCACATATCGAAGTTGCAATGATCCTTCAACGAACGCAGACATGAAACCGGGGGGGGGGGGAGGGTGTTCAAGAAATTCCACCAAGTACTCACTCTTGATCTTTGTTTACAAATAGAAATTTCTGTTCGAAAGTTTATAGGACAGTGATCTTGTTAGCTAGAACGGGCGAGATTGTTTTTCGTGACGTTTTTCCATGTTTTAAAATCAATGTAAAAAATGAATGAGGCAAAAATGTACGAATTGTCTCACTATATTTATAAATTTTAACGTCTGGCTTTGTTTTTTTATCGTATTTATCGTATTTGGTGATGCATGTATCTTTATTTGACAGAATCCAGTGAAACCAAATGTAAGCTTTGCACAGCTTCATTACAATGAAGCAGAAGATGATTTACCTGACACAGAAGAGAGGGAATGCTCAGAGCGGGAACCTTGTGTTATGACCAATTGTCACTGGAGGTATATTGTGACGTCATCACGCAACAAAAAGTGTACAAGTGTAGAACATAATTTTGGTGATTTCAATGCTCAACAAATGATCGTGTTATTAAAGTGCGATCACAGTTTCCACCATTTGATAAATCTCATCATGCACATGAAAGTTAATTATTTTCAAACGATAACCGTTTTTTTCCTCTACAAAATCCCCCAAAATTTTTCAAATATAATTCTAGTTCTAGCAAGCTGTTTGATTTGTTTAAAACGTCATATTTATTTTATTATTATTATGTTATGCTTTCGTATAAGGACACTCACTTTTAAACCTCATATCGCTGCTTAATGACAAATGCAGCGTCAGAACAAATAGACAAGATTTATACTATGTTAAATATAGTTTTATCAAATTCCTAGTTATCTTTCCATATTGGAACTAAAAAGACGCCATGAAAAATGAAGCAAATTGTGAAATAATTTGAGATAATTAAGAGTTCTCGTTGTATCAGTCAATGTTCAAGGACAGTTATATTATTCTATTGATATGAACATTTATTTGTAGTCTTATAACGATGGCTAAAAGGGAGCCATACACGAAATGTCTATCTGTGGTGGATCTAAGGGCATCATCACAACATAGTAATACAAATCCTGTAGACGTTCCCACTTCACGTGACAATTTTCAGGAGATCTTTCTGAACTTTAATTTCAGAGGTTACGTATTGGTTTAAAAATAAATCTCACAATGAAGATTAAACATTTCTTTCAAATTATATATTTTTTGACATATTTACAGAAGCATTATTTTGAAAATATTCGAATTTTTAGGGACTGACTCGATGCGTCGTCGACCGGCAGTGAACACAATTCATTACAAAAGTCCACCAATGCCCCTTCAGGTACGCTTTCATTATATTCAATCTTTTGTTTTTAATTGGCTTCGCCAAAAAAACATTACGAAGAGACAAATCTACCATTTTCAAGTGGATCCGATTTTACTTCGCCCAAAGGCAACGTGGGTGAATAAGGGGAAAACAAAATGGCGACAAACCTTTCCCTAATGCAGTTTTCAAACGCATAATTTTTTAGTCTGACAAATTAAATTTCTTGCCAGTTCAGTAATGTAAACCGTTTATTGTAGGTATTTCCAGATATTGTAGAAGACAGGAACATTGTATGTAATAACGACCACATGAACAACTGTGGCGTATACTGCCGCTGTACTCACGTTGTTAAGCTGGATGCGTGGAAAACAGCACAGCTTGTATTGACGGCTGAGGGTAGAAGAATTATCAATTCCGTTTTTTCTTAATCTAAATAAATGTGTTTTCCATGGCCATGCCTACTAGAAGGAATATTTTTTTTGCTTTGAACCTCACCTTAGCTGAAGGCTCAAGTGAGCTTTCTGATCAGTAAGTGTCCTGCGTCCCTCTGTCTGTGTGTAATTTGTGGTCTGTAAATTATTCACTTTTTCGACTTCTCCAGAACCACAGGCTAATTTCAATCAAACTTGCAAAAAAGCATTCACAGGAAGTTTCAAGCCTTCTTTTAAAGAGAGGTAATTAAGAATTCAGTGGCTTATAAAAAAAATTCTGAAAAACCACATTACATACTGTAGATTACAATTTGTTCAAACATGACTCCCAGGAATAGGGCGGGGCCACGATAGGGGATCAAAGTTTAGCATAGGAATATATTGGAAAGATCTTTAAAATTCTTCTTCTAAAGAGAAACAAAGTCCTTATTAGTCATATTTATTCTGAAACATCGTCAGCCAGTGTATATTCATTTTTTTTGCAAAATTATTAGCCCCGAGGGTAGGTAGGAGCCACAACAGGCGATCAGAGTTATATATAGGATTGTATAAAAATATCTTTTAAAAACCTTCTTCTACAAGAACAGCAAATTCATTATCATTCATATTCATATGGAATTATTCTTAGGTAGTGTAAAAGTATGTTCAAATCATAGCCCCTTGGTGTAGGGTGGGGCAGAAATGGGGGATCAGTGTTTCACAAGGAATATATAGTAGAAGTCTTTAAAAATCTTTTTTCCTAGGAATAGCAAAGCCTTGATTAGTCATAAATATTTGGAAGCACCCGCAGGAAGTGTAGATCCAGTTTGTTCAAATCATGACCCCGGGGATAAGGTGGAGTCAGAATGGGCAATCAATGTTTTCCATAGGAATGCAAAGGAAAAATCTTCAAATCTTTCAAAATCTTTCTATCAAGAGCAGAAAAACCTTGCATGATTAGTCATATTCATATGGAAGAGTCCTCTGGTAGATTAAATTGATTTTTTTTCAAAGCATGACCTCCTGGGTAGAGTGTGGCCATAATATTTGATCAATGTTTTATATCGGAATATATTATATAAGAAAGAATCTGCTGATGAAGGACAGAAGGGCCATAATTACTCAGGTGAATGTTGTGGCCCCTGGGCCTCTTGATTTATTTTTTAATATACTTTTTTTTAAACTTAATTGATTTGTTTTGTAAAAGACTTATTACTATTCACTTTTAATTCCCAGTGCCGTTCATTAATTAACTGAAATATTTTCTTTTCTCTTAAAAATAAGAATATATTCTAAGCTAAAACTACGAGTAAGAAAACCAGAAATAATATTCCAATTTGATTTGTTTAAAAAAAATGAAGTCTATTGTTTTTGCTCAAAATTTTTAGCGATTTTCGAATGGTGCTTGTAGTTAACGTAACCAGGGGATCCGCTCACCCTATACATCTCCATGGAAATCGTTTCCACGTCCTAAAGTACGGGCTCCCAGTTATCAACAAGACAACAGGACTAATTGAGAAGGAAAATCAAGACATAGAATATTTCAATAACTACAGCAAAGCAAGATGGCGGAATTCTAGCTGGGAGTATGGTAACATTCCAGATATAAACATTGTAGATCCGCCCCACAAAGATACGGTGGTGGTGCCTTTTAGGGGCTATGTTGTTGTTCGACTACAAACAAACAACCCAGGTATGTTATTTTCCAACTTGGTTGCATTGCTTAAATATAGATTCATGTAATTGGATTTTTTGGCATATAAATAATTATTACCTTTTGAACGATTTTGGTTAAGCACTGTCATATTTAGAATATTTGTAGGATTTTGGTTCATGCACTGCCATCTCGATGACCACATGAGCCTGGGGATGGACGTTGTTATACAGGTTGGGGAGCCACATGAGATGCCAAAACCTCCCCCACATTTTCCAAAATGTTGGAATTTCAAAGCGGAATTCAATTCTAAATCCTCCTCAAAGTCACAATCAGAGAAAAAATCCCTATCTGACAGAGAAGATGACAATTTTTTACAGCTGCCTGGTAATTCGATTCTAATTTCTTGAAAATTCGCAATCAATGATGATATTTTTCCGACCTAGGAAATGAAAATGAGAGTTACGTTATTTTAATCTCAATTTCAGCTGTATCTGACATCACCACCAAAGGACACGAAGAACATGAAGATGAATCCTATGATACTCACATCTTTAGCATAAACTACACGTCGTATGTCGTTATGGTGGTGTTTATGATGGTTTTCCTCTTTGGGTTCCTCCTCTTGTCTCTGGTTTTGGTCATTAAACAATGTAACTGGACAGGTTCTTCCTCCAGACGCCGGGGTTATACTGAGATCGGAAGTGAACAGCGTGTTAAATATTCAAAATAAACTCAAACAAAAACTTAAGATGAATGATATTGTATTGAAGAAAATTTTCTTCCTGTAGAGATGCAAAGGGAAAAAAATCATCTGGAAGAACTAAAGTGATATATTTTAAATCTTGCCTCTACATGTAATATCTTTAAATAAGTAGAAAGTATAGAACATTTATAGAATTTTCTCAATGTTTTGCTCAGTTTTGTATTGATATATAACATGGACTTCTGTAATTTTGATTAAAGACCTTTAGAAGATATATCAATGTCTTGTAATAAATGAAATGAAAGAACATACACGTATATCCATCCTTCTATTATGCTACCCAAAGTTTAAAAACGGGAACGAATATATTTTCTAAAAGAAACGTTTAACACTTTTCATCAAAACATATGTTCCCAATATTTGTAAATGAAATATGGAGAAATGGAACAGTATTCGAGCTCAAAAGCCTATTCAAACAATACAAATACGGAGCAGAGCAAACACGGATCTCTAAATCATCAGATGTGCGATAAGAAGAAAATCAGCCTTCACAGTTATTGCAACAATTTATATCTAAGAATAGACCTCCTTATATACTGAATATTTTTTGGGGAAAAAATATTTTAAATTTACTTTTGGGGGGGGGGGGACGAGACTTAAAAAAAATCAATCGTTAAGGTTCATTATTTCATTTGCAAATTGTCACACTCGGGTACTTTATCATTTAAAAGAAATATGTATATCCCTGATTGTATTAGTCTGTCACATATGTTACTTTAAATTTAACCCATAATTACTTCTTATTTTCCTCAGGATCAATTCGATCTATGATTACTTATTTAATAGAATCAAATGCTTTGGCTCCTTTCTGATGATTATCAGGTGTTAAATGTTCCAGTGATATATGAATTGTTTAAATTATCAAGAGATTTTCTGTGTTGTAGAAAATTTTATGCTTTAAATTATACAATTTTTCTCTGAGGTTTCTTTATCTGTTCACTTAGTTCTGCCTGCCTGGAAATATTTGGACCTTTTTTGTACTTGTTGTCCAATGAGTCTAAACTGCTTTATAATTACAGTAAAACTTTGTAATCCGGATGTTGAGTAATCAGAAATCTTGTCAAATACGGTGTGAACTTTAACTCCTTTTGCAGCATATTAAATTGTCTAAAGTGTTGTCTAATCCAGAATGTTGCATAATCCTGCAAATTTCTTTAGAACCAGTCATGTCCGGATTACACAGGTTTAACTGTAAATATATACTGACCAATAAAGTCTCATTGAAGTATAACAAACAATTATAACGAAAAAGATGAAAGCAGCAAACAGTGAGATCTATCTCAAAAAAATGTACAATCAATAAAAAGTTATGTATAATTAAAGGAAAAGAAAAAAATATACATAATAGATAAACTCTTAGCTAAATTTTTAAACAACACTTGTGTTGTATAAGAAACAAGAAGAAATTGTAATTTAAAACCTTAACCAACCAGTACAGGGATAAGTACTTTCTTTATTTCTTAACCGGAAGGCCAACCCTATTTTAGGAAGTATTTATTAGGACCAATTTGTAACCTATTCAACAGGAAACCCGAGCTGACCCGACTTTTTCCGATGAAATATATTGTTTGAAGGGCTGCCCTGATACATGTGTATCTGGGACCATTCAAATTCACTAAAACGCTACGGAGAATGAAAGTTTTGAACATCCCTCATATATTGAGTTTTCCTCTTTTTTTATTATTATTTTTCCATGTCAGAAAGTTAAAATTAGTCAGTTGATGTAATTTCTGTTTTTGATACAGGCGAACTTATAGTTAACATTACAGAAACACTGTCAACACTGTGAATTTATAACATATTTCATTATATGTTAAGTGTTTGTTTTGTATAAAAATTTTTTAATACAAACGAGGCGATTTTTCATTGTCAATATATATATATATATACGAATTTTTGTCAAAAATATTTCAGGAACTTTTCCAATTGCATGTTTTTATAAAAGTAGGGTTTGAAAGATTCATGCAAAACTCCCATGTCCCAATAAGGAATAGAAGAAGAAAAAGAAATCAAAGTCAAGAAATGACTGACTATAACGTCGAAATTGGTTAAATAAAAATGAATCATAAAATCCCATTCCAGAATTTTTCACTCATATAGAGAGGTACCACCATATACGGTAAGGGGCTTCAAATTTATACCTTTACTCGGCTTTCAGGGCCATCGAGCAGTGAGGGATTTTTATCGTGCCAACTCCTGCAAACCTTGACAAGGGGCCTCATTTTTTTTTTTAGGTCTTATTCGAAGGACCTGCAAACTTCACTTCAAAGTGCTGAAGCTTGGCGAAGGAACATTTGCTATCAATGTTTTATCTTAGGTCAGATGTGTCCGGGGTTCGAACCCATGACCTTCCGATCACGGGGCGATCGCTCTACCGAATGAGCTTTCATGTGGTTAGGATGCAAACACCAATGTTCAAACGTTTACTGGAAAATATGCTTGGTTGGTTACGTATCAAATGCTGTGATTCGATAGATTTGATTATACGTACCAACAATTTCATTTCCCTTACATTGTTGTTTATACATGTATATACATTTGAGGCGATCAATTAGAACAAAATATTACATCAACGACCCCTCAGCTTACCATCAATCAAGAGAAATTTGGGTTAAAGAGGTAAAGGAAATTTTTTGGTGATAAATAAATATCAGTCATTCAGTGGTTATCTGTTTAATTGAAAAAAATATTAATATTTTACTCTCTCATCGTAGTCAAGTCGAAAGACAGAAATATATCAAGTTTAGAGAGCTATTTCCACAGTGACAGTGATAATAAGTAAGAAATGGTAGGCCAAATAGTCTTGTGTACATATGTGCTTGCCACGAACTGCGTCAGGTTGCCTCACTCAGTCCTAATCAACTTTTACTTGAAACAATACATGCAGAACCAACAATCGTTTACAAGCACAGTGATATAAGTATACATGAAACAGGATAATGAATTGTGCATAATATTGGAAAGATGTATAAATTTTGAATTCAAATCTATGTGTGTTTCATATTCAAATTGTTTTCCACTAGTGACTTTAAAAAGACATGTGAATATCACTTCACCCTGTTAATTAAAGAACATGAACACAAATTATAAAACTTTTCATTAACACAATAACAAAAAATACTCTAGTTAGTTTGATTACTGTAGTAAAAACAATGATTTAATATAGTTAAGACTTTGATACTATAGAAAACAATAGTTTACTATAGTAGTTTTTGTTAGGGAAGTTATTAAAAGTCCATAATAGAAAGTCAAGAGTTCTTTTTTCTATAGTAATTCAAAGAATGAAAGTTTTTACTATAGATGGTTTTCCATCAAGGTGTTTTAAGCAAGAGTTATTTCCCATGGCCGCCATATTGTAGGTCAACATCCCCAGATCCCTTCATTATTCAACCAAGTTCAATTTGTTATACTGGGCACTGATGTGAAGATAACACTGTTTTTCTTATGAATATATGTTTGGTAAAGCTTCTTTTACTTCATAATTTCAATATTGTTAATATTTTTTACCATACATTTTTGGCATGCATTTTTAAAATTGGTTGCTCAAAGAGGAAAATTCACTACTTTGACAAACAAGATGGCGGCCAAGGGGAATAACAACGAGGAAAAATATGTCATAGGAAAACCATCTATAGTTAATAAAAGAATTATTTTACATTTACCAAAGGTCTCCTGATTGATAAAGAAAATCAAAGTATTATGTTTTTTGTCACTTAATGTATAACCATTATTTTACATTTGCTGATGTCTTTCCTTATATGACAATACTAATTAAATTGACATTCAATTTTCAATGACATGCAGTTGGTCACATGATCAGACTTTCTTGTGTATGGAAAGCAAACTGCACGAGCCATTTGGAAAGTTCCGATTGTAGGTTATGCAGCGTTTCCATAACAAAATCTAAATACTGCCTATTTTTCCTTGTAACACGAATAAAAAGTAAAATATAAATATCAGAAATAAAATATCATTTTTTTTTAGTTTCATTGGGATATGACATGAAATCCTTCGGTCGTTATAGAGTTTGATCACGTGACCGACTTCATGTCATATCCCAATGAAACTCTAAAAATGATATTTTATTTCTTAAATAATTGGTTAAGACTCAAAGTTCTCATTTCAGTTGATGGAAGAGTAAAAAAAAAATAATAGATAATAATTATAAGTATTACAGTTTGAACCTACCACAGGATGAGATCAGCCACTTTCTGAAAGGTGAATGAAAATGATCTGCTATTGGGTTTAGTTTTCAGACCTCTCAGTAACAATTGAGTTGATTGAATAGCACAATTTCATCCAGTGTTAGATTATATTTGTTTTGTTTGCATTTTTAGATTTATGAATCAAAGTGTTAATTTTGAAAAACCTATGGGTTACTATAGAGAACTATAGAGAATTCAAGACTTCTGTCATAAAGTTTAGTTTACTCTGTTTATTCAGATTCCCATAGTATTCGTCAAAATAAATAAAAGCATCAAAGTAGTTTTTACCAAGTAAATCTATGCTACAAAGATCAAAGGAATTCAATAGTTTTCACTTATGTCAACAATTGGTTTCTATAGGATTTTATTTAGGAAATAAATAATCTGATCTCATGTTTTACTCTTCGGGTTATGTTTCAGTAACTATTCGTTAATTTATTTGTTTGATTGTGTATTATCTTTCCGGTGGACAAAATGTATATTGTTGAAAGTCCATTTCATGGGCAAATGCACACATAAAGCAAGCCCGACGATTTGTCTGATAATAGATTTTTCTTAACGCGAACAAGTCGTGCAAGGTGTTTAGATGTCCGTGTGTTTCAAATTTTCATTAACGATGTGTAATGATCGAAATTAGTAAAGTCGGCACATCTATTTACTAAGCCATAATTAACAAGATCGTTTACCTCGTAATATTATAAATCAATTACTCAAATACAGAGTCATTGATTAATTAAACTAATATTTTTATAGAACGTCTTCCAGTATTGGATTTTTCTAAAGAGAGCGGTCATGAAAATAGCGTGTTTCAATTCGTATTCATTAGACCACAACTTCTATATAATTTTCTTCATTTAAGATGAATTGACCAAAGAAAGGTATTTCACACTAAAAACTCGTAGGCACGCTGAAGCATTCCTATATCGAAAGTCTGTTCAAAAGAGTGCGTGGATATTGAATAAACAGTAAAACCCGAGTCAAAGTTATTAACAGTGGGACGGACAACTTC